TTTACAAGTGTATGTAAACTTTTGACCACAACTGTAACTAAGCTGTGGTCACCTTTAATTTTATTCACGTATCATGTTGCTGTCATTTTTAACTCATTCTTGTTTTAATTGGCATTTAATAAAGAAATACCAGTCAAACTCTGTCCAACTGTCTGCGAGGTAGCTGTGGCTCCGGAGGCAGAGCAGCTCATCTGCTAAGTGGAAGGTTGGTGGGTCAGTTCCAGGCAAGATACTCAACCCAGGTTGCTGCAGATGTGTTGCATTCATTGTAGCATGAATGTTAGACAGCACTTTGACAGTTTGCTTGTGCGTGAATGAAACTAGCTGCATAAGGTGCTTTGAGTGCTTGAGTAGAGTAACAACTAGTCAGTTTACCATAAAAGAGAATTTAAGGGTCGCATGTTGCTGACATAGTGCTTTATCTGACTACTAGTGAGTACAATAAAAGGAGCTGAAGTATTTTATGGCAGTACATTTGCAAGACTTGCAGAATGTGTATCACTTTATGCGTCTGATTTCATGACTGTGACAGTTCTTGTGTTTCTACAACACTGCTGCTAGTTGGCTGCAATTCTGAGCTGACAGAGGAACTGACTGGAGGACAGGAAGTGCTGAGTCTTTTCCTGGGATGTTGACGAGGAAAAAAACTCAAGCCAAACCCACGTGCAAGCAAACAGAGAGAAAAAGTTGATGGAAAATGTTTGGAATAAATGTGTTCATCTCCAAAAAATGCATATCCTTTGTAGTAGAGGTAGGGGACAAAGCAAAGAGCGATTTAATAATATCATGTGACTCAGCTGCTCACTGGGTGATTATTAACGTGAAGTCTACGCAATTGAATTTTAAGGAAAAACTGTGCAACCTTTCCATGTTCAAGCACAGAAACGTAACTGAATTGTTCTGGTTATTGGTGTGCAGATAAACAAGTGGCAGCATTTATAATAAAAGAAAAACTGAAATAAAGCGACAGCTTTTCACTATGTACGTCAGTGTAGAGCTCACCGAACCAACACAGGAAATAATCCACATTTAACGTCATAATAAAAGTTGCCTAGGTATAATCAGTATACTCTGAAAAATGTGATAATATAATATACCGTTAATTAGGTTATATATGGCATTAAGTGAAAAAAGATTTTGTGATATATTTATAAATGTAAATAACAACAATATGAGAAAAGGGAAGTAAGCAAACAATGAAACAAAGATCTCCCTCTTTGCTTACATCAAGGTCAACATATTGTATCACCCATAAAACACACCACAAACACATACACAAAAAACATTTGCACCTAATTCTACAGTAAAATCAGAAGGATTTATTTATTAGTAGTATTTATTTATATTGATTTATATTTATTAGTAGTAGTAATAGTATGTTAATTCGGACTCGTTCGTATTGACCTACAGGCTCATTAAGTCAAACTTTTGAAGACTTTTACTTTGAAAAGGAAAAGCGAGGCAGACCTCCGTGTCCCTCACTGGGAGTTTACCAGGTGCATCGTGCACAGGCATGTGATGCTGTGCTGCTGACTGGTCGCAGAGGACGTTGCGCAGCTGCCTTGGAAATGTCAGCCCGGTCGGAGCGGGATTCTTGGAGCCACAAGTACCGGAGACAGCTTTCCACTGACGTCCAGCAGTACCGGCATATGACGGAGATACTACACCGGCCGAGCGGAATGGGTAATGAGAGAGGTCCTTCTCATGCTGCTGTTCACTACAAATTAGCAGATGCGTTTTATATTGTTTTTTCACAGTAATTGTGTGAAAGCCTGAAACTTAAAGACAAATTTTGTTTTGCTGTTTTCTGTTTATATAAGCAAATTATCTGTTTTAAAGCAGCTGACTGTGTGACTTAAGTAAACAT